CCTGCAGAGTATCAGTGAGGCACAGCCATGGTCCCCTTTTACCCACGTGAGGGGCTTTTATTGTTTAATTTGCATTTTCCTCTTTTATGTCCTCACTTGTGTAATTGGTTTTCATGCTCATCATCTTGCAACGACAGTTTGTTCACAGCGGAAATGCAAGGTGTTGTGTGATAGCCGTGATGCCGCTGTCAGTACAATCTTGTCATGTAGCAGGGCCCAGGTCCAGTTTCACTATACATAATATGTGTAAACCTGTTTCAGGCAAAACACTTGTGACATGTTGTGTAATTGCCAGCTTTGGCTTGATTAAGGAGTCTCTCCAGCTGACTCCCAAGTTACCAATGTGGAATGGCATTTATGAGTTTTTAAATATCTCAGCAAAACTATTTTCCCATGTTCTCCTCTTTTGCTGTTTCACTGTTCAAGTACATTTCTACAGTTGTGGGTGAAGTTCAAGCTGGTCTTTGATGAAAGTGCCTCTCCAAGAAACGTGTTAAAGGTTTGGGGCTGTTGGTCTTTAGTTCTTGTTACCATTGCTAACTCTGAGAGACGAGACAGTCCATGTAACTACAAAACAGTGCTGATTTATTCAAAGGATCACAGGTAAAATTAACATTACATGCTCAGGTATCTTGCACCTCCAAACTGCTCACAGGCAGATGTAAGATGAAAGACCCTGAACCAAACCAGGCCTATACATTATATCCCCTCGGTTGGGCTAGCCCCATACTACACAGAAACGTCAACCGAGACGTCTCTGTTACCAGCTTTGCAGCTGGTCATAGCAGTAGTCAAAACATGAAGTAAATCAATGTGTGTGTGTCTGTTGATTAAGTGGTGTGTAGCTAAAAACATTCTCACAGACTTCTAGTAACATGTCATGATATTAAACATAAGAACATATTATGGCTAAGGCTACAGTTATACACGTCATAATAATAATATTAAACACCCTGTCTGCTGACAGTCATCAACTCTTCTCTCTAGTTATCCTTGACCAGATGTACCCTGTAGAAACTCATAAGCATGACTAAGCATTTAACAGTCTAACTAGACATCCTATCTCCACTAAACATTTCTAATACATAAAGTATCTATCTGACTAAAAATGCCTAACAGGGCCTACAGTCTTGTGTTCAGTGTATGTACTGTGGACAATTTCATGGGAAGCACAATGGGCTGCCTATGCAGGAAGCCAAAGCCCTTCCTTCCCAAACCCCTCAAGCAACACATAGCCTAGTATATTCAGTGACATTGACTACTGCTTCCTCCTCTCTGAGAGGTTGTCTCCCTCCACTGATGTAATGGAGGTTGTCTTCTCAAGGTATTGTCATGATTAATGCAATTCTTCCCCCTTTTGGTTGCAGGATCTCTGAGCTTTTCTCTCTTGTATTCCACGACTCTATCTAGCGTCCATCCAACCCCCTGCTCCTTCTCAGACCATGCCATTACATAAGCACAAGTGTCAGTGGTTCAGGTAGCGCAGTGGCTGGTGCCCCAGGGCCCCCGCCATCTCATCTTGGTTATGCTTAGAGCGACATGACAAATTAGTGCTCACATGCCATTGGGGAAGAACTCATCAAGAACGAGAGATCGGAGGGGGAAATGGAAAGGGGACCGCAGGGCAAAGTGGGCTGAGCTTAGGGAAGGTCAAACATATGAAATATGGTCATGCACAAGTGTGTTGCTATAAATGAGCGACTATTGTGTTTGAGGGGATCAGAAAAGGTCTTGAGTTGTAAACGATAGTAGATGGGACTTTTAGGTAGAGTTTATAAAGAACAAATGTTTCAAACACTCTACCAGGGGATTCAGCAGTATTGGACCTTTTTACAGTAGAAATGCAAGGTGTTGGCTTATCAGATTTTTAATACATACCATATATAAGGCTAGAGGCAGGGCAAAAGTCTATGTAAATGTTTTTAGTCTGTGTTTTCTGAAATTAGCTGGAGTGAGTGAATCAGAGCAAGAGGAATTTTGATTAGCTAGAGTATAGATTCTTGCATAACAATCTAATTTAGATGCCAAATTAGTGGCAACGCCTCACTTGTTTTTCCTGCTAAATATGAAGATTTGCTCAACCCCACAAGAAATTATGACAGAGTATTGCCAGTCTCTGTCTATTTTGTATGTATGATCCCAGCAGGCACCCTTATAAAGAAAAGCGTTGAAGGAGCATGAGGGATAGGAGTCTGGGCCGTGGGGTGAGATATTAAGCATGTCGCACAGGGCCAATAAGTCAGTCTGCCACTCCAGTTCAGAATCTCTCCCAGCAAATCCAAAGTATTTCTGGGGGGAGGGAAAGGGGTTGAAGTCATGTCCATAGCACCTCAGTGGAGGGTCCAGGTGACAGCGCATGATTTAAACGGAGTTTCCTTGCACATTGAGGTTATCAAAGGAAGAATTAATGGCAGGGAGTGGGTTATGTGACATTGTTGCTACCTAGCAAAACTGTGTTGCAAGGCCATACATAAATCATAGCAGCAAAGTGACAGACAAGCTGTTGTCTGAAATGCTGCTGCCTGTATAGTCCCAGTATCGACTTTTCCCCTTGCTCCTCTCTTAAATCATGAAGTGTGGAATATAAATGGCCTAATTATTCCAGCAGAGAGTGAAATTAAAGGCATTCCTTTTTATTGCATCTTCCCAACAGATGGTGGTCAGATCTTACATCACTAATAGCAGCAGTTGGCAAACTCGGGTATAACATCATGACCAAAATCTTTACCTCTTGGTGTAACATATGGAGCAACTGATTTTCATACTTCAAGCCTCTTTAATCCCCATAAAGTACCCATATCTCTCAGTACCTCTGCCAACACCTGTCACATGGCCTTTGTATTTCAAATACTTCACATGAACTAAAAGGGTAAGTGTATCAATAATAGACTTCCCAAGAAGAAACCAAAGCCATTACTGACACTACAAATGAACCATGAAGTCATCATTCAGTGTTAGAAATGGCAAAGGCAGCATTAAAAATAAACAGATTTACTAAAGTTAACTATAGCTTCAGTCCCTAACATCCTCCTGTCCTTCATCTGTGTTGAATCTTCTAGCTCTAAACCCTGACGCGTTCTCGGCACCATTATTACTTATTACTGCATAGCCTACAGGACAGTCTCCACCATCGCCGTCCCATTAACACCGCTGCAGCAGGAAGAACAGCAGCAGCCACACATCTCTGGGCTACACAGGGATCTACGATCTGATAAGCGTTAATGCTGTGGTTTACAAGTTCTTCTGGACGCCACCTCAGTTGTTCACAGAAAAGGGGAATCTTAACAACTCATTAGAAATCCCCTGTGTGCATCCTTGGACCACTTTACTTTTCCTCCCGTAATTACTGACGCCAGCCCCTAGCCCAAAAAAAGTCAAAGGCAGCTGTGAATGAGAGTGAGTCACACAATCCAGAAATACAAGCTTCAAGGAGCTCTGCAGGGCTTAATCTCAACAGGAGGGCTGTTGAGCTGAATCAGATGCCTTTTTATTTTACTTCAGGGTATGGGTTGGTATGAGGGGGAACATGTCTCTGGGTATGTTTGTATATATAAAATACATATTTGTCTTGTCTTTAAATATTAAGTAAACCTTCCATGTGACAGTGCATGATTCTTTCCATCACACCTTTTGCCTTCCCTCCATATACACCCCTGCATGTCATACGTCTCTCTTTTTGTTTGCTTGCTTATCAGTGAAAAACACAACTATTCCATTTCCAGGTCTCTCATTCTTGTCCATTCAGATGAATGTGTGTAGATGTTGGTTAATTTTTTTTTCCTGACATGTACATACTGTATATATTGCCCTTAATGGCATTGAAATGTATTATTATTATTATTATTACAGTCATCATGGCCATTGTTTCTTTCAAAGCGTCGCGGTCAGTTTGCTCCCACACTTGGAAAGTAAGACTATTACCAATATGGAAAGAGAGGCAGGCACCGCACTCCTTCTGTCCCGTGTCACTGTGCCAGTGGTCCACATACAGTGACTCCAATTGTGCTGAAGCCCCTTAAGCTATAACTTGCTGAACTGAACACAATCACATGAACCACCCTTGAAAGATAATTGTCTATTACAGGCTGCAGATCTAGAGATTCAGAAATAGTCTTAATGTGTTTTGGTTCTTTTGACCCCATTGTGGTGTACAGAGGATGAAGAGAGTAGGCAGTCCTTAACAGGAGACCAATCAATAGGATGAGGAGAGAATGTGTGCATATGTGCTGAAAGTCAAAGAGGGAGCAAGATAACTAAGCTCTGCTGAGTCTGGCACTATTACTTCCACAGTGTGTCATGTTAGCTTAGAGTGGATGCAGGAAGGATCAGGACGTGGCAGCTAGTGAGGAACTGGAGCCAAGGTCCCCACAACCAGCACTGCTACCAGTCCTCTGTTGTAGTATAATGATTCCTAGCTGGGGGCAAAGGGATGTGTGGAAAGCTTATAGAGAAGCTCTACTAATTTGAAAAACAAAAATGATGTATTGGATACAATGAAATGTCGACATACCGATTCAGTTAGTTGAAAGTGAAGAATAAACTGTTGAAATATTTAGTTAAGTAACAAATAGCTGAAATATCTAAATACATCAGACTAGCTAAAAGTATTAGTTAAAACAGCCGAGCAGGATAAATGTAAAGGATACTAAGTGGTATTAGTAGAAATGCAGACTTGACCAAACTGATTTAAACTCTACTATTTGAAAACATTGCTTTCATTTTTTAGTATAAATTTGAAACCCATTGAATTGAACATTTGGAACATGATGGTGAGTCCATCAACAAAGATTGGTAGCCAGGGAATAATAATTCTGCTAAGGTGGCCCTCAGATGATTGCTTTTTCCTCAGAAGCAGTTGAAAGCAGGTATATGAGAATTTGCCACAGTATGTCTGTCCACGGAGTCTCCAGTAAAGCAGGTCTTGGGCTCTCTTGCTGCATGATATGCCCATTGCTGGATCCATATTGCGTCTGCTCATGCTTCATTGGTTTCCCACTCAGTGGAAATGGTAGAGTTGGACAGAGGGAGACGGTGGGATGAAGAGTGCTACTGTGAGTCAGGTTTGTAGGTATTAAGAAACTCGGTGGTGGTGCAGCGACATGAACAGACAGGAAAGAGAGCGAGTGGCTCAGTTTTTATGGTCTACCACACAGGTGTTACTGTGGCAACTGGAACCAGCTCGCCAGCTAGCCGTGCTGTGTCATCTTATTTTCTGCCTTTCCTCTTTTCTTTTACCCCAGTGTGTGGATCCTCTACCTTTCTCTCTTTTAGTCCAGCTTCATGTATCTCTCGCCCATTTGTTGGCAGCCTTTCTCTCCACCATTGTTCTCCACACTTTGCATTCTCCTTTCTCTTCACACCTACCTGCTCTTTCTTGTCACGTTTTTCTCCGTTCCCATAAGCACACTCTTTGCAGCTGAGTTTTAGGTCTGTGCTCAGTGGATTTGTCTTCCTTGACTGTGTTTGTGTAGGTGGATGTGGGAGTAGTTCACTTCACCCCTCTGGTCCAGCCCCAGATCCAGCAGCCCTTCAAGCTGGTGGAGAAACTCGTCAGGAACATATTCCAGTTCCGCAGGAAGCACTGCCATAAAGGAATAGAGTAAGCACTATTATGTGACGTATCCTCTTTTTCTACTTTTTTTTAAACTCTTTAATCTTGTCTCATCCTTTTCTGTTTCTATTCTACTTTTTGACAGTGGTGTCTTCGTCTCATTATTAATTAGAATGGTTTTTGATTTGCTTTTCTTCCTCACACACACCAGTCTGACAAATGAAGAGACAACTTCCGAACATTTCTGTAACCCAGTTCTAAACAGCAGAGCACCCTCACAGCCCTGTTGAAAACCATTAGCAACAAACCCACACACGTGCACCCTGCCCATCGCCCCCGTTCCCGGTAGAAAAGTGCATGTAGGCCCGGATAACAAAAGAACACTGCTGTGTGAAAGAAAGCAGCAATTATGAGTCATTGAGGTGGCATAGGAAGGCGAGGCAACATATTTTATGAAACTGCAGTGGGCTGGCAGCAGTGGCACCAAATTGCAGAAGAGGCACCAGAGCTAAAGCGCCTAAAAAGCATCTGTACTGCAAAGCATGTGAAACTGGCTCAGTAACCTTCAAAGAATACAGAAGAACATTTTTAGCAGGGTTTTTAAAAATTAATGGCCACATCAGTGTATTGAATGTTCTGGAGAGCTTTTTAAAGTGAGAGCCAGTAAAATAAATACAAATCAGAAATTTCAATTATAGCTGCTCTTCTTCTTTATGTTGAAGAGGTTTGTATTTGTGTGACTTTCTTCTTGTGTCAATGTCTAACATCTGTTGACTGTGCAGCATGGTCGTGGAAGAAATTAAAAATTCATGAGCAGGTCAAGTCCTTTGTGTGATTTCAGTTAACTACACAGATTTGAAATAACTGCTGAGGGATTGCTTCTTTTTGTTTGAATTTTATAATGCTATTAAACTTGCATGATCATGTGAGCGTGGATGTAGGAAAGTATGCTATCATGTCGTCTTTGTTTTTATTCTTCCTCAGAAAGTTGTTCCCTGAGGTGTGTCGTGTGGAGCTAACACAGGAGATGATGCAGAAGGCCGATGTGGACCCCACTCTACGCCCTACAGAACTCACCATGTCCCAGTTCAGGGCTTTAGCAGATGCCTACGCTCATCTCTGCACCCATGAACCCAGTCTCCTCGGCTATGAGTTCAGAGAGGAGCTCAGAGAGAAGCGCCTCGCCGGGCGAAAAAACACACCAATGAAAACATTTATGGACATGCCAGCTGACACGCCAATAAGACCTCAACAAACCTGCTGGAAATATAAAGAAAGCAAGAGAAGCCCACTTGCACAGGAGACAACAGACAGCTCTTAGCCTTGACATTTCCACCTGGCCTAAGCTTAAATTTTTAAAACATTTTTCCCTGCACCCTGGGAGCAATAGGTAGCTCAGTATACATGAAATCCTGTGATAGAGACAAAAACTATAAGGCAAGTAAATAGCCTGGGCAGTTGGAGAAGCTCGTAAATGTTGTTCTGGGATGGGAAAACACAGAGCAGAGTCACGTTGCTGTGGGAGAATAAGAAATGCATGCTAGTTACCTGCAATAGCTCTTTTTAGAGCAAGTATCTTTTTATGTCCCATTTCTTCCTTCAGACGCAACTCGCATAACACCTTGTCCTGTGGGAGCTGAAAGAAATGTCACATTGCTTTCAGGGTGATTTAGAGAAAAAGATGGCAGCACCATATCCAGGTCATTTTTTTCTTCCACTGTGCACTGGATTGCTGAGTCAGTTGGGGAACAGAGCTTAAGGGAGGAGGAAAGTGATAAGAATTTGTCAACTGGAGTTGGACTCAGGAAAGTGGCATTAAAGGAAGAGGACTCGTTTCTGTTAAATAGTTTTCAGTTTAAAAATCAGACCATTTAATGTTGGTTCTGTATGTTTGCCTGCCGCTGTACATGTTCATCTAAACGCTTAGGAGTCGAAATATTTTGCTGTCCAACTGGCAAATGAGGCAAATAATTCATTCAACTAATTAGAAATTGATAGTATTAATGGAGGTACTGATGTGGTACATATTTGTTAAATTTCATGTAGGCTACTATGACATCTAAAATAAATCAGATGCTTGTGTCAGTGTTTGATATTTGAATGTCAGAACATGCTGCAGAACATGGCAGGGCTGTTTCTTGCCAGTGTGGCAGATTCTATGTATGCATTGACTCACTTTTGATGATCGGTGGGTGTTAATTTCCAGCCTCAATCAGGATCTGCTTTCTCATGGCAGTATTCAAGAGACTGCCATTGGTAGCTACAACACTGTGTTACTAAGGGGGCTCAGTGACCCTTAAGAAACACCCTGGACAGGTCGCCAATCCATTGCAGGGCTAACATAGAGACAAACAACCACACACACACACACTCCTATGGGCAATTTAGACACCAATCAACCTAAGCTGCAGGTCTTTGGACTGTGGGAGGAAGCCGGAGTACCCGGAGAGAACCCACGCAAGCACCGGGAGAACATGCAAACTCCACACAGAAAGGTCCCAGGTGGGGCCCGAACCCAGAACCTTCTTGCTGTGAGGTTCTGGGTACGGGCGCATGGTGCTAACCACTGCGCCACTGTGCTGCCCTCTTATTTGCAACTTGTGTATAAAATTGAAGCACTGCAGTAAAGCTTTTTCCTCATATTTCTGTGTAACCGTGGCCCACTTCTGGCAGATTATTGTGTATTCTATGGAAGATTTACCTGTTCTTTTGATACTGCTATAGAATAGCACATCTCTGATGACAGCTAATCAAGGATGATGGCGAGTCTAGTCCAGGGACTAAACCGCTTGGTTCCCCGCACTGCTTTACCTGTCAGCAGAACATAAAGGATGTGTAAAACTGAACTGACAGACTTGTGAAAGCATTGTTCTCCAGGCCTCATTCGCAGATAAACCCTTTATTTGTAAAACAGTTCCATAAGAATGGAGCATTCACATTCATTGGTTTGCTAGCATTACAGGCATGGTATGGTTGAGCTGAGAAGGTAAAGACTGTAGTAGCGGTTTGCCTTTTACAGTACCTCAACATGTACTTTATGTATGGCAAACGATGATTTACAAAAATATCAGCTGCATTTATTGCTAATTCCTGGCTAGTTTATCTGTACAGTGTCAAGTATGTATACGTAGATGTTTAGACGATAGAAAAGACTTTTTATACACTGATTTACAAAAATATCAGCTGCATTTATTGCAAATTTCTATTTTCTTATCTGTACAGTATCAGCTATGTATACGTAGATGTTTAGACGATAGAAAAGACTAATATACAACAAGGAAAATTGGGTTTTAAACATTATTGCTGTTCAATTAAGCAGCCATACATGGTACTGTATACACTGGAAATTACAATCTTAAGTGAAAGACAGCCAAAATCCAGCAGGCTCCACTTAAACTGCAGTGAATAAACATCTTTATTTAAATGATAAGGCTAGTAATTCCCTGTGTTTTGGTTATTTTACCACAACTCCCAATACAGAGACTAAAATAAACAATGAATTTCATGTAGCGTAGCGTCTGTGAATCCAGACCCTGGTTTAGTTTGTCACAGACTTCCACTGTTGTCCAAAAACTATTAAGAACACACCAATGAGCCACACCGCTGCACCGATTGGCATGTTTCGTCCTCAAAAAAATGGGAGGGTAGTAGCGCTGTTATGTGCAAAGCAAGAAGTTATCAGAGTTTTAGGCTTCTAGATTTGTGGAAACCAAAACACAGAAAATCACTGGCCATCTCCTTTAGGAATAGACCAAACCTTTACTTCAAACCTCCACCCAAAAAGGTACTTAGCTAGGATATACACAATCAAACCTGTTAATAAATAAAAACAATATTAATAACATTAAAAGATGTAGAGTTAAAAATAATATATATGCAAACAGTGTACTTTAGTGCACAAAAAACAGCGAAAAGGCTTAGTTGTGAAAGTCGGTCTACTTTCTCTTGATTTACACCCATCTCTTCTCAGAAACACTGACTTGACCACTACCGCTCTGTGGGTGTATCTTTCATTTCCTTTTCACTGAAAATGCATTTCCTGGTTCTGTTAAACAAAATGAATACTTGACAAGTCCTGAACCCACACTAAAGGCGCCTGTGCCAAAACACCAGATTTATTTTATATGCGCACTGTGCATTTCTTCCCCTTTCTCCAACTTTTCAGATTGACAGGCAGATCTGACAGGCCAAGGACATTCTCCTCCTTTCTTCATAGAAAAGGTCAAAAGCCAAATCTGCGTGAGCTGCAGAGGAGACTTGGATGGAATACGTCACTCTGACAGTTTGTAGCGAGGAGGCGCAGGCCAGCGAGCTGAAGAAAGAGCGAGTATGCATCACTGCCTGCCAGATTCACTGCAGTCATTATCAGTGGGACAAATCACCTCGCTTCGCCTCTCTCAGAGGAGAAACTGGGTGTGTCAGCCAATGGGCATCCATCAGAATACATCATTTACACCTAACCTTTAGCAGGCAGGTGTGACTTATTAAATCAACTTATGAGTTGAGGCACCCTGGTAGAGCCTGCAGTAGACCACAGGAGCATCCCCTGTTGTGACTTATGGGCTTGGGTCAGCCCCTCTGACCTCTATGGCCATAACCCTGTGGTCCATGTACAGTAAAGTCTTGTCCACACTACCACCTAGGTGGAAGGAATGTTTCCTGAGTCAGCGGCATAACTCGCAGCTGGATCATAGAAACAGTCCTCATTGACTACTGAAGTCAGACTTTGAACACTAAACTCTCTCTCCAGTAATGTGTTGAGGTCTGCCACCCCCGATGATGATGCTGCATCTGTCTGGCTGTCCAGTGACCTGCTGTGCTCTTTCATGTTCAACAGTGCACCCTGGCTCCTTTTAAAACTACTGGCTGTCCTCTTAACAGCACTGTCCTCTTTGGGTTTGATCTCTGGAGTGTCCCCAACACGTTCAGGTTGAGCACAGGGTGCTGGTTCACATGTTGACACAGCGTCCTCTGAGATTTGAAGTTGGAGCAACTGAGCCTCAGTGGCAGAAGTTGGGGAGCTGCTGTCTTCACTGTTCTTCTGCGTTCCCTCGCTAAAGCCGTCATCATCCTCATCACTTAAAATATCTGACTCTTCGACAGAGGTGGAGTTGGGCTCTGACATCTGAGGCCAGATCTGCTGGTCAGGGGAAGGACAGGGTGGAGGAGCCTGAGAGAAACTGTAGGTTCCACTGCTCAGGCTTCCCTCATCTGAGTCTGAACCCAACTTGGGATTCCCAGCCTGGGTGGAGAGATCTCTACACGGCTGTTTACACAACCACGAGGCTCTGGAGGAACCTGGTACCAAAGGCGGAGACAGAAGTTAGAAATTCTGCTCTTATCTGGGCAAAACAGTTGCACCTTAAGCTCCCCCTAGCATTTTAATGACCTAAAAAGAAATAAGATCATTTGTAAAGTACATACATACATACGTGTTACACAGCTGATGACTTTTTTTTAAGACAAACCTTAAAAGCCATATACCCCTCAGCACGAATCACCCTATGCACTATGTGGACATGTCCTTACAGGACTCTTTCTCCCCCATAAAACATACAAGAATATTTTTCATATGAATGATTACCTAGCCGGGCGGAGGAGGGCAAGGTGCTGCGCAGGGGGGCCGGGTGTTCCTTACAGGTCCTCTCCAGCGTGCCCTCGCTCTTCATGTTCCTCCTCACATTCTCCCTGAGGATGGAGCGGATAACCTTGACGATGCTGACCTTGCTCTCAGGCCCACTGAGGACGACACAGCAGAGGTACCACAGCAACATGAGCACAGGGTATGTTAAACTCGATTTCAGAAGCTAAATATAGATTAGGTGGACTGGTGAGAAAAATCCATTGTGTCCCCAGTGTAACGGATTTAATTTATTAGGAGTGATCCCAATTTCACAGTGTGTAATGAGAATTTCCAAATTGGTCACAGGCTTCACTCTCACCATTATCCCCATGCAGACAGTCTGTACTGGTAAATGCTAAGACAACAACAGCAACCATAACCTCCATGGGAAGAAGTGCCAAGTTGGTGTATATTATCTAAGGTGTATTTTCTGGGGACAATAATATGAAACCAAGTGTGAAATTAGCCAAATTACAAAATTACAACCCGAATTGCCTGATCTCAGCAGCAAACGACTTCCATCTACCATCAGAGCTGTAGTTGGGTCATTATCTGTAAGCAATGCTTTACAATGAGAGGTTACTAACAAGTATGTTCATTTGTGTTTTAACTCCAAACATAAAGCTGTTGGTACATTTACAACCTAGTTCATTGTTCTTGTTATATAATGAGGGTGCAGTGTTTACAACCAGGGAAACTAAAGGTAAACCATTTTCAGGAGATTCTAATCCTGGTATGTATAACAGGAAAAAAATACTATTGGATCTATGAATGCATATCAGAAATAATCTGATTCCATCTGAAGGTTTAATCTCTGACCTGCTACACAACTGGAAGACTGTCTCTGGTCTCCCTTCCACTTCAGACCTGGAGTGAATGAGCTCCCAGATGCAACTGCTTTCTGTGCCTGTTCCTGGGAGAGTGAGGAAATAAAAGAGAGGCTTTTAATCACACAGTCCAAATATGGTTTATGGTTTCAAAATGAGATAGGGAGGGAGGGAGCTGAACTGAAATGTCAAGAGGTGTGTGTGTGTCCTTGCACTTGCTACATACAGTATTGTTCAAAATAATAGCAGTACAATGTGACTAACCAGAATAATCCAGGTTTTTAGTATATTTTTTATTGCTACATGGCAAACAAGTTACCAGTAGGTGCAGTAGATTCTCAGAAAGCAAACAAGACCCAGCATTCATGATATGCACGCTCTTAAGGCTGTGCAATTGGGCAATTAGTTGAAAGGGGTGTGTTAAAAAAATAGCAGTGTGGCATTCAATCAGTGAGGTCATCAATTTTGTGAAATAACAGGTGTGAATCAGGTGGCCCCTATTTAAGGATGAAGCCAGCACTTGTTGAACATGCATTTGAAAGCCTGAGGAAAATGGGTCGTTCAAGACATTGTTCAGAAGAACAGCGTACTTTGATTAAAAAGTTGATTGGAGAGGGGAAAACCTATAAAGAGGTGCAAAAAATTATAGGCTGTTCAGCTAAAATGATCTCCAATGCCTTAAAATGGAGAGCAAAACCAGAGAGACGTGGAAGAAAACGGAAGACAACCATCAAAATGGATCGAAGAATAACCAGAATGGCAAAGGCCCAGCCAATGATCAGCTCCAGGATGATCAAAGACAGTCTGGAGTTACCTGTAAGTACTGTGACAGTTAGAAGACGTCTGTGTGAAGCTAATCTATTTTCAAGAATCCCCCGCAAAGTCCCTCTGTTAAAAAAAAGGCACGTGCAGAAGAGGTTACAATTTGCCAAAGAACACATCAACTGGCCTAAAGAGAAATGGAGGAACATTTTGTGGACTGATGAGAGTAAAATTGTTCTTTTTGGGTCCAAGGGCCACAGACAGTTTGTGAGACGACCCCCAAACTCTGAATTCAAGCCACAGTACACAGTGAAGACAGTGAAGCATGGTGGTGCAAGCATCATGATATGGGCATGTTTCTCCTACTATGGTGTTGGGCCTATTTATCGCATACCAGGGATCATGGATCAGTTTGCATATGTCAAAATACTTGAAGAGGTCATGTTGCCTTATGCTGAAGAGGACATGCCCTTGAAATGGTTGTTTCAACAAGACAATGACCCCAAACACACTAGTAAACGAGCAAAGTCTTGGTTCCAAACCAACAAAATTAATGTTATGGAGTGGCCAGCCCAATCCCCGGACCTTAATCCAATCGAGAACTTGTGGGGTGATATCAAAAATGCTGTTTCTGAAGCAAAACCAAGACATGTAAATGAATTGTGGAATGTTGTTAAAGAATCATGGAGTGTAATAACAGCTGAAAGGTGCCACAAGTTGGTTGACTCCATGCCACACAGATGTGAAGCAGTTATAACAAACTGTGGTCATACAACTAAATATTAGTTTAGTGATTCACAGGATTGCTAAATCCTAGAAACAAAAACGTTTGTACAACATAGTTTTGTGTTTGTACAGTCAACGGCAGACACTGCTATTTTTTTGAACACACCCCTTTCAACTAATTGCCCAATTTCACAGCCTTAAGAGCGTGCATATCATGAATGCTGGGTCTTGTTTGCTTTCTGAGAATCTACTGCACCTACTGGTAACTTGTTTGCCATGTAGCAATAAAAAATATACTAAAAACCTGGATTATTCTGGTTAGTCACATTGTACTGCTATTATTTTGAACAATACTGTACAGGGGAACACAGTATTTTTTGCTACAGAGTGAGGACATTTTAGCCAGTCCTTTTTTTTCTGAAACAGCTTTTTGAGGGTTAAGACTTGGTTTTAGAGCTAGGCTTAAGGTAAGGGTAGGGGGATGCATTATGTCAGTGAGTGTCCTCATAAAAATAGAAGTACAAGGGTATGTGTGTGTGTTAAAGAGAAGGAGCGTATGTGTGTGTGGGGGGAATTATGGAGGGGAAGAAAGATTTAGTGATCGATTTAGAGGGGCTAATGTGGCAGTGTGCCAGGCTCTTACCTGCAGTATTTCCCAACCTGACCTGCAGCGCTGAGAGCGGGATGAGCCAACGGAACTTAAAGGGGTCGGAATCTCCATGAGACAGTGCTGAACGAGGGTTGGCCTGGTCAGCACATAGGAGAAAAAAAGATGAATTCTCTCTTACACTCCACAGACACCATCTGTGGCATGTGAGGGTAAATGAGTGCAACAAACACTAAGTACCATTTTCTTCTTCAGCTTGTTGCTCTCCCTGTAGACCAATATCACCGCCTTTTTGAACACTGGTGAGAGAGAACACATCAGCAACTTAGTTTTGAGTGCAATGGCCTCTTGAGGAAAGCAGAGCAAAGGAACTCACAAAAGATGCCAATATGAAGCGTATATCAGTGTGCTACAGCTACAGATGTTGACATTCACCAAGTGCCACTGCAGATCGTTTTGTGTGGCTCTCCAGCAAACCTCAGTATGCTTCGTTTGTACTGATCAAACCGCAAACATCCATAAGTGAACATGGATCTGCAGCTGTGTGTTGAGACAAAACTGTATGTGGAGGAATACCAGCCAAAATACTGGTTGCCAGAAACCTTTCAAGTCTGGCAAGATGGGAAGGAATATGTGTGGCTCCCTGAATGCAGCCACAGCGGTGGCAGGAGCAGTGTGCATGCTCACCAAACACGGTCATTTCAGGGTCTTTTCTCATGCGACCCAATGATGAATGAGGGTTGAGCCAGACCACTGAGGAATGCATGAGAAACTCTCCCATCGAAATCTCTGTGACCTGAGACAGACACAGTGGAGATGTTTAAAAAGAAAACAGAGGCAGAAGAATTACAAACCATACTGTACTTACACTGAAGTTGGCAAATAACTGAACCAATGTAAGACCCCTAAGTTTTTATCTTGTTTTCAGATTCTAGTTAAGAACAGTGCATTTATGTCCACTGTAAGTCTGACAAAGGAACCATGAGCATCTACCTTATTCATTAGAAAGATTATTTGCAGTAAGATCTACTTTCATTTCCTCTTTGAATCTGCATTATGAATAATACAATCAGGGAGACGATGAGAGTCTGATGTCTTTTAGAAATGAAGGCATTTTAATAGTCTCTTTTTCATCCAGTCAAATCCCCAAACGCTGAGTAGAAATGTAGTTTTAGGCTTTCTGCAAATCATTATGAAGCATCCTAATCATAACTTGGATTACTGAATAATGAATTCAACAGGATATCAATCAGATGAAAATCAAATGACACTGCTGCCATTCAAAATGCAGTCAAGGTCATTTACATGCTGTGGTTGAACTGATGTGAACACAGTGGATCTGATTCATCTAAAAACATGTTTTCCTTGTTTCTTCTCTCCTTGGATCCTTTCCTTTCCTTCAGTGGGAGGGACTAAGATACATGTGAGGAAACATGGATGCAGTCAAGGGAATTGAGCTGTAATCAGTGTCTGTGAATGTCAGTGAAGTTTAACAGATGCTACAAAACAGGGTGAAAGTTCATTTTCAAGTAAACTTTGATCTGGACCTTAACTGGGAGTTGTTTGAGTATGTTGAAAACATATGGTACCCATGATTTAGCAGTCTCTTTGACTATTTATACTGCAGGGGTTACCAACCAAATATTCCATCAATTTGTAAATATATTCAGTTACCAGAGGCAATGCACAAGAGGACGGCGTAAACAATATAAGAAGCTAAACCAAAGCTCTGCTCTGATACTGTTTGAAGTAGTTTAAACTGATTTCACCAAGGACACTTTAAAGTGTATTCATTATGTTGGGCGATAGTGAATACTGGATTCTAAAAGGTACGTCTACCTCCTTGTCGTGGCCAGTCTGTTCGGCGACTAGCTGATCAAACACAGAGCCGTAATCCTCATAGATCTTCTGCATCTCATTGATGTGGCTGGCCACCTTCTCCATGGCTTTCTGAGCCTCTGCAGAGACCAGAACAGATGAAAGTGCCAACAGGATTCAGTTCTTGACTGTATATGTGGATTGTTAGCGCTACTGTAGCAGACTGTATTTGGTCATTGTGTGTGCATTGCATATGGGGAAAGTTATTCAGTGCCAGATGTATTTTTCTTAGCACATTTTTGCCATGTCTGGGTGCACTTCGTTTGTGTACGTCTTTCTATTCCTACCAGTGAGGTGATAGTGTTCCTCGCTGTCAGCATCAGTGAGTGAGACCAGCTCCCTGAGCAGCAGAGGGTACTTGAGCACCCTCTGCACTGGTTTAATCAGGTAGGACTCCAAGGTGGACGAGTGCTGCTTGGTGGGGTTCCTCGCATCCAGAAATTCTTTAAAGGCTTGATCCGTCTTAGCTGAAATAACACAGTATGAATTAATATGGATATGTGATCTTTGTTTGCGTGTTTGTGTTTTCTGAAGTACTCTAATGGTCTCAGCTACACCATGTATGCCAAGTTCGTAAGCCAGAATCTGATGTGACAGGAAAAAATGTTGGCTTTCCATTGCATCCCGCACAGGCCTGTGCATAATAATGGTGCAATAACATGTCTCCAGCAGGGGGTAGTGTAGGCTTCTGTTGAACCTACCACCTACCATGACCACCGCAGTATTGACATGTAAACATCTGTGTATGAAGCCAATACATTCAGGGCACCACCTCTTGAGTATCATAATAAATTGAAGCCAGGGTCTTTGCACATAGCAAATGGTAAAAAAAAAAAAAAATCTAGTACAATTGCGATGAGTTAAAAATGATCAAGTTGGCACTATTGAGTGTAGGCTGCAGCCAAATTGTTTGAAAGGGCAGGTATAATAGAGAATAAGCCTTCTGTAAAGGTGATGACATTTTCCCTGAACAGTTTGCTTCCACGACATTTACAGAGGGGGGCCATTAAAGTATTAATTATAGCACAACCACAGACAGGCAGCCGCATCAACAACTCCGAGACTAATTGGCAGGCAATTAATGAGTCGCCAAATAAACAGAAGAACTAAGGCAACCCAGGGCCCTTGGCATGATGGGAATGGGAGGGGTGAAGAAGATGGCAGAGAGGGGAATATAATTACTTAGAGGGTTGACAACACCCACAGATTCCTCCTCTGTGTCCTCGGATCATCTGGTTGCAACCAGGCTGCACTGGGCATTCTGTATCCTGCTGAGCCAACGCTGTAGTCAGTGTGTGAAGAAGGCAACTATCATCTTATAATATTGGCCTGTTCGTATCTGTACTGTGCAATTATCATGCCTCATGTCATTCTAATATGTGTGTGGCACCAACCACAACATTTAAAGCTCTGGTAAATGAACACGGTGCATAAACCCTGTGAGTACTAGTGCTTTGAGGCCGGCCTCTTTTCCCTTCTCTCAGTCATTTTGCTCCAAGTCGTCACTGCCCTCAGACTCCAGGGGAGGGAGGAGGGTAAATACATCTGAAGTATTCACATTTCGTACATTATTGTTGTCATTCTAAAAGACTATATTTGAGAGTGATAGAAGGTTCCCATCATTGACGATTTGGATTACAAATTTAGGTCTTTTAAAGTTCATCTATAAAAGGAACAGGAGGGTTTTCCTCAAGGATAGTACCAAAAGACCCTTTTATAATTGATGTTGAATGATATCATTCAACATAATTTTCACGATTGTTCAAACCATTTAACACTGCAAAAAAACTTTTGTGCACCGGAGTTGCTTTGATAACCATATTTATCACATTTTCTGGTAAAGTGTGACCCATCAGAAACGTTTTCCTGAGTGTTTTTTCCCTTCTACTACTGTTAAATCCATCCTGCTGCCTCCTTTGAGGAATATCCCACACAAGATTTAAGCAGCACAGGGGAATGGAATTGCCTCCCCCCACACACACACTTGTCACGAAGAAGAAGCCAATCTTCTTACATTTATCTCTGGACTGGGCAGCGTTCCCAAAGAGTGGTAGAAAGGTCGGCATCTTAACAGGCATAAATCAACTTCCAAATTACCACTCTGTCGCATACAGAGAGAGACGCAAGGAATTACTGGGGCTTTCAGGTTGTTTTGGCTATCTGCTGTGAGTGGACAAGGTCAGTCAAAGTCTGTGTATTAATATATGCATGTATTTAACGTCATCTGCCTGTAAAACCGGTAATAGCTTTGAATGGTTAGAAATTGTAGTTCACAAACTGACAGAATTTGTCTAAATATTTTGTGCGCCTCTGTGCCTAATGTCAGAGATAGAACAGGGCCTGCAGTAAATTGGAGAGGCATCTCTCACCTCATTTTCAATCTCGTCTGTCACTCTGGGACATTTACTTTTATACATAATTTGTTTCCCAAAAGAAAAGGCCAAACCTTCAAACAGTGGCTGCTCCGAGGTGTGTCTGATGCAACATGGGTGCAAGGAAGCTGAATTTAGCATGGGTGCGTCACACTTTGGATTAATATGTTTCTGAAGATGTATTTACTATATACCAATTCTCAGTTCCATTGCAGTAGGAATCTATTTGGACATCATGTATTCTTCATGTATGGAGGTGTGTAATACCTCTCTCCAGGACCTTCTGGACCTTGATGTGGTTGGCACAGAAGCCGCTGTAAAGCTTGAAGTGATCAGCGTAGTAGAGAAATGAACCCCCAAGAGAAAACAGCAGCTTCTGTAAATGGAGAGGGTGTGGGAGAAAAACAAAGCCAGGGACTGAGTGTCGCACACAGATGGAGCAAGAGTGAGTGATGCTAC